TTTTTTTTTTTTTTTAATTTTGAGAGACAAAGAGCACGAGCTGGAGTGGGGGCGGTAGAGAGGTAGACACAGAATCTGTAGCAGGCTCCAGGCTGTGAGCTGTCAGCACAGAGCCCGACATGGGGCTCGAACTCATAAGCCGTGAGATAGGACCTGAACCAAAGTTGGACACTTAACCAATTGAGCCACCCAGGTGCCCCTAGGGTTTTTCAAATATATGTATTCTGTGTATTAGTTGTTTGTTATCTGTTCTGCAAAATTTTTGCTCTCTGTGGCTTGCCATTTTCACTCTCTGTATGGTGTCCTATATCAACAGAAGTCAATTTGAATGTAGTCAGATGTATCAATTTTTTCTCTCATGGTTAGTGCTTTTTATGTCATGTTGTAGAAATCCATCGTTGTCCTGAGACTATTTCAAGTCATTATTTTAATTAATGAGAAGTAGGTGTATTTGGACTTTGCACACATAAAACTTCAATGTACCATTAATTAGTCAAAAAGCATATTTCTTGTTTACTGCAGTTCAAATTTGTTAGGCTCTTTCAACCTACATTTAAGAATATTTTTATAGATGCTGTCTTCAATCCTGGAAACTCTTAAAGCTGTCATCTACTTTTTCTTTTAGAAATTTTATACTTGTGTTTGGTATATTCCTTGAATATATGATATGTGGTTATTTTTCTTGTGGGTTTTTGTTACTGTGCATTTTAAAAAGATTATAGATACTTCTCTTTTTTTTGTTTTTAATGAAAGGAGACCTTTAGTCAAGTGAACACTTCTCATTCACATTGATTCCCTCTTGTTCTTAGGTCCTAAAGGTGATCCAGGTCAGACCATAACCCAACCCGGGAAGCCTGGTCTGCCTGGTAACCCAGGAAGAGATGGTGAAGTAGGTCTTCCAGGTATGTGAGGAATTTATTTGGTCATGTTTTTAACACTTACCGGCTTCTTTCTCTGAAAGTATCCCTTGCAAAAAACTGCTATTTCTCCATAGGTGACCCTGGACTTCCCGGCCAGCCAGGCTTGCCAGGAATACCTGGTAGCAAAGGAGAACCAGGTATCCCTGGAATTGGGCTTCCTGGACCACCTGGTCCCAAAGGTATGTAGGACTGGGCAGCAGGCAGGCTATTTTAACTGGTCAGTATTACATTATTCTTTGATATAATTTCCTCAACAAGTAAAATATATTAATTGTACCTCTTTTCTATGTACCATAAGTAATGTAAATGAAAAGTCACAGCAGGTATGCACTATAATTTTATTGTCTTTATCTAAAACAGTATAGACAAGAAAATATCTAAATCATATATATACAAAAATTATATATAAGCTTTAAAAATTACAGAATTATTGTCTTTTGTGTTCACCATTGTATTTTCAGGGCTAGAAAAGTTCCTGGCACATAGTAAGCACTCAGTAGATAATTGGTTGAATGAATGGGCTGTATTAAGCGAAAAACATATTTATTACACATATGTATCCAAGTAATGTTTTATCCTAATCATGTTTTCTTGATTTACTGAAATTTTTTAGGGCTGTTGTTTCAGTTCTGCTTTATTCCTCACAGAATTTATTTTCATGAATGACAAGCATGCACATTGGTCTGAGAACGGTCTTTAAACATGTCCTTACTCATTTATTCTAAGTGACTTTGAAAGAGATTTGGCTTTATGTGTATATATGTGTGTAATATTTGTAATTGTTTTTAGCTCATTTCCAGAATTATATGGTAGGCCTTTTAGCATACTATATCCAAATATAAGCAGAATAAAAGTTTTTCTGCATTTTTGTGTGGTAGTCATTCTTTACGTTTAGTTCTATCTCATTAGTAATACCTGTCATTTTACTTCAGAAGAATGTATCTTCCACACAAATTAGCTCTGTATGAAAATGGTAGGACCATAAGGTGATTGAGAAGGAATATCAGATATTTGTAAGGCTTGATTCTGAGTAGTCATCTAGAATGTCATTGTAATTTTAACATCTCACTGTTAGTCACTAAGCATGATTAGACAGGGTAAAAGCATGGGTTTGGGAGTTTGGATATCTTTCTTAAAGTGTCTTCTCTTTGGAGATTAAAAAATTAAAAAATGACTCATCATTTCACAGGTTTTCCTGGAATTCCAGGACCTCCAGGAGCACCTGGGACACCTGGAAGAATTGGTCTAGAAGGCCCTTCTGGGCCACCAGGCTTTCCAGGACCAAAGGTCTGGGACATTTAATTTATTCTTTCCCCTTTTCCTATTTCTCCTGTTAGCCTTAGCTCTCTATTTGGATATAGACATTATTATCCCAAGTCTTCACTATATAAATAAAGTTAGCTGATTATATTTTAATTTAAAAATATTTAACCCAAAACATTCTTTAATAGTCCAGGAGGTAATATTTAAAGCAAACAAAAAGTTTCTGTTTTAGAGTGACAGGTTATTTGATGAGATGAGATTAGATGAGAGAATACAATCATCAGCTCCCTCTGTACTTCTCTATAGTATGACCATACCATTTCATCTCTATCCATGCCTATGTGATGATTGGTTGAATATCATGTCAGGAACTTCCCATACTGTTTCCCAGTCCCAATTCCATCCCACAGACATAATGCAAGCCACTGCTATTAGCGTAGTAATATAATAATAATAATAATAATAACAACAACAACTGTTTGAGTTATTTTCCATTCTTTTTATTATTATTTCTCAGCTAATCTAAAATTTTCCTTAGTCAGCCTTCAGCAAACTACTATGGTATATAATTACCCTGACTGTTCCTGAATTTTCTTTTATTTAATTAATTTAAACTTTTTGTGTTTTCATCATTACTATTTTTTCCATGGGAAGAACAATTGACCATAACCCCAGCTCTAATGAGAAACCTCTTCTCTATTGTTTAATTGTTCTTATTTTATTACGTACCTCTCAAATGAACACAAAAGTAAAAAGAGTGATACAATGAACATTCATATATCCACTTTTCATTTTCCAAATTATCAGGATTTTATCATATTTACTTCATCTATTCTTTTTTTTGACAAAGTATTTTAACTCACATCTCAAAATCGTGTTGTTTCACCTATAAATACTTCAGTATTCATCTCTAAGTAAATGGACATTTCAAAAAAACCCACAATGTCATCATCATACTTAGTCAAATTTAAAATAATTATCTAATAGTCTGTAATCCCATTTCTTCACTTGAGTTCTTTAATCTCATTCTCTCTTTATCTTTCTTGTCCTGAAACCAAATCATTTTATTTCTCATCCTTCTAGATGGTCTCTCCAATACACCAATTATTTTTCATTTAATTGTCCTACTCCCTAACCCCCAAAGGGAAAAATGGTATTACCTTGTATTTTCTGCTTTAAATTCTCCATGGTAAACAATAAACACCAAGAAAATCATGGGAGTTTTTGTTGTGTTTTCTCATGTGTGTGCTTAAGGGAGAACCAGGACTTGGGCTACCTGGGCCACCTGGGCCCCCAGGACTCCCAGGTTTCAAAGGAACACTTGGTCCAAAAGGGGATCGTGGTTTCCCAGGACCTCCAGGTCCTCCAGGGCGTGCTGGCTTGGATGGGCTTCCTGGACCAAAAGGTATAGAAGTTATTATTACTTTTCAATTTGTGTTTAACTTTTATAGAAATTGAAACTTTTGGGAAAGTTTATGGGTGATAAATCCAATTAGCTGAAAGCCTATGCTACCACTCTGTCACTGCTGTTTTTCATCTACCATTGGTGTTTTGGCATTTTATTTCATTGAATAGGTGATACAATCATATATGTATAAAAGTGGCACTGAGAAGTCTTCCTTTTACCCCATCTCCATCCACTCTGTTTTACCCATCCCATATGTAGCCATTTTGAGTTATTTATCCTTCTAGTGTTCCTTCATACAAATACAAGCCAGTAAGAATATATATTTTTCTACCTTTCTCAAAAGGTAGACCTTTTGACTTTTTGCACATTACTTATTTTACTTAATTTTATATCCTAGAGATCGCCTCATGTCATTGCATCGAGATCTTGATTTTTAAATTTTTTTTTCAACGTTTATTTATTTTTGGGACAGAGAGAGACAGAGCATGAACGGGGGAGGGGCAGAGAGAGAGGGAGACACAGAATCGGAAACAGGCTCCAGGCTCTGAGCCATCAGCCCAGAGCCTGACGCGGGGCTCGAACTCACGGACCGCGAGATCATGACCTGGCTGAAGTCGGACGCTTAACCTACTGCGCCACCCAGGCGCCCCGAGATCTTGATTTTTAAGAAATAGCCATCTAGTATTGAATTGGTTGGATATACCACAATTTATTCTACCAGTTGCTAGTCACTAGATTGGGTTTTTGGCAATCTTTTCTTATTAGAAATAATATCACAGTGAATTGTCTTGCATACATGTTATTTTATTATACGTGTACAGGTGTAATAGTAGAAGAGACTAATGAAAATAGATTTTCTGAATTAAAGGCTAAATGCATCTCTAGATACTGTCAGATTCTTCTCCATGTGCACCGTATCAGCAGTGTATGAGTGTAGTTGTTTCTCCACAGCCTTGGTAAGTGAGTATATTGACAAACTCTTTAATTTTTGCAAATTTGATAGAAGTAGTTATCAGTATAGTTTTCTAAATGTTTTATTGTAAAAATTTTCAAACACACAGGAAATTAAAACAACGGTTCAGTGAAAACTCCTATATCCACCATCAAGATTCTACAATTAACATTTTATCTCTGCCAACATTTTATGTTTTTAAAATTTCATATAAACAGCAAAGTAGGAAAAAATTTTTAGTGACTACTATATATGCATTATTGATATTCTATCATCAACATTTTACTATACATGATTTGTCACATATTAATCCATCCCTTTATCCATTAACTTATTTTTTTATTGCATTTCAAAGTAAATTTTACAATTTAGGGAGTGCGCTTCTCCCTAAATAGTTTAGCATGTGTATTATAATTACAATTCTATGGTTGCTAATCTTTTTGACATACAATTCACATTAAATGAGATGCACATATCTTAAGGAGATATTTGCTGGATTTTGACAAATGCATATACCTGAGTAACCAAACCCTTATCAAAATATAATCCCAGAAATTTCCCTTTTGCCCCTTTCCTCACTCCCTACACCAGTATCCACAGTGACAAGTATACTGTAATGGTTTTTCTTCATTGTAAATTAATTCTACCTGTTGTAGAACTCCGTATGGAATAGCACAGTGGGTATCTTCTTTGTAAGGCTTCTTTCACTCTGAATATTGTTTTTGAGATCTATTTATGTTGTGTTTGGTGAGAGTTTTTATTTTTATTTTTTTATTATGAAGCATTTAATTGTACAAATATACCAAAGTTTGTTTATCCATTCTGTGTTGATGGACACCTGGACTGTGTCAAGTTTTTGACTATTATGAGTGGATCTGTTAAGAACGTTCTTTTATAAGTCTTTTTTGTGGATTTGTGCTTTAATTTTTCTTTGGGAGAATACCTAAGAGTAGAATTGTTGGGTCATAAGGTAGGTATATGTTAGTTGTATGAGAAGCTACTAGACCTTTTTCCAAAACAATTGTACCATTTTAAACTCACATCAATATGGTATGAAAGTTTTAATTTTTCCACATTCTATCCAACATTTAGTGTTATCAGTCTTTTTAATTTTGAGTTTTGGTAGGTGTGTTGGTAACATATTTTGGTTTTAGTTTGCATCTCCCTGATGACTAATGAGGTTGAGCTCTTTTACATGTACTGGTGGATTATTTACACATTCAGGTATTTTCCCCATTTTAAAATATGGGTTGTTTCTATTTATATGTTAAATTGGAAGTGATCTTTATATATTCTGCATACTGCTCCTTTGTTCAATATATGTTTATGAGTATTTTATCCTGATCTGGTTTGCCTATCCATTTTTATAAGTGTATTTTAATGAATAAAAGTTTTAGTTTTATTGATGTTTCATTTATCTATTTTTATATAATTATTATTTTCGGTGTTTTGTCTAAGAAGCCTTTCCTTTCCCAAAGTTTCAAAGATATTCTGTTTTATTTTATAAATTTTATAATTTTAGCTTTTATGTTTAAGACTATCATTCATTCCAGATAATTTTATTCAACATCATTTGTTCAAAATATCTCCCTTCCCATTGGATTACTTTGATATCTGTGTCAAAAATCAGATGGCTATATATGTGTAGGTCTGTTTTGTGCTGTTAATTCTACTTATCTATTTTACTATCCTTAAGTCATTACCAACTGTTTCGATTACAGTAGCTTTATAATAGACTTGATGTCAGGTAATGTAATCCTCCAATTTGTTCTTTTTAAAAAATTTCTTTGAATATACTAGATCCCTTGCCTTTACTCTCAGGGTAGTTTAAATTTGTATGTCCATTATTATGAATAAAATTAAACATCTTTTCATATGCTTAAGGGTCATGCATACTTTTCCTGTGAACTGCTCATGTACTTTGCTTATTTCTCCATTGATTTCCTCTACCCACTTGATTCTGATTCCCCTAATTATATACAGAAATAGAATTAGCCTACATGGTTTGGCAATTGCTTTTTCCTTACTGGTTTGCAAGGAATGGGGCTCTCCTGGTCAATATTTTGGCCTCCAGAGAATAATCTGGGCAACTCTATACTCCCGAAACATGTTGGATTACTTACAATTAAAGCAATATGACAGCACAGCCCAATTTATCCAGCCTATATTCTACCAGACAAAGCCCCAAACTAGCCCAATACTAATTCTTCTCAGGTAAAGCTCTTTTAAAAATACCTATCTGTGTTCAAGTAAACAGTTCTGGCCACCTGTAAACTGTAACACCTAAAGTTACACATAGTGTTCCCCACCAATTATCTACCCTAGCTGAAACATGTGATTCCAAAAATTGCAGATAGAGACATTCCAAATGATAAGCTATGTGGCAGTCTCCATATGGGATTTACTCACTCATGATACTTTTGTTTATTAAAATATCCTTGAGACGGGTTAGGAAGAAATGGGTTGAAGACTATTTTAAGCATCAGTGTCTTAACAGGCATTTATTTTCCTAATCTTTGAAAGTAAATATAGGATCCCCATATCCTAATAAGAATCATTCTGAAATATTAAAACTCCAGTACAATTCCTATGTTGCTAGAAGAAAAAGAAGTTGGGATTTTCTGCCATATAATTCTTTCATTCCTCAAACATTATGTTCTTATTCTGTGCCAGATACTATTTGAGTCACTAGAAACACAAAAGCATATAGTCTCCTCTGTGACTACTATAAGAAAATCTACATGGTATCACTGTGATAGTGCTTATTTTATCTGGAACCTTTATGAATATGTATTGCTAATGTTTTGGGTCAGTAAACCACTGTCAGAATTCAATAAGCAAATCATAATAAAAGTTCACCTATCAGACACACTTATACCAGTAGTTGGGTATTAGAACCTAGCAATCTCTTTTAATAGGAGATTTGCACTTTCAAAGCAAAATGGTAACCAATAATAAATTAATTAGGCTAATACCCATCAGGAAAGAACTATATGAGAATGAAAATGTGCTTAAGACTCAACATTAGAAAAAGAAAGACTCAGCATTAGAATCATCTTAAAAAGGTAAAAAAAGATGACTGGAAACATTCAGTTTGCCTCATATGTTACTTTTGTTCAGGGCTTCATCCAAGATGCCTTGGGAGGCTTCATAAGGGAGGTGACACTTGAGCTGTATCCTTAGGAAAGGATGTTCCAGGTAGCAAGAATAACATCCAAAAGTATTGTAACAAATAGAACGGTATAGAAATGGAAATATTGAAATAAATAAAAATAAAATGTAATTTGCAAAAAATATATATCATATCTAGAAATTGATAAAATAAAGTATGCCTAATGTATTTGTGAAAGAAATTAAAACTATCATTAACAAACTTGAAAAAAGGTAAAATTAACTGGTTGATAAATCATATGTGTGCATGGGAAGGCTCAGTGATGTCAACTCTTTCCAAATTTGTCTAAATACAATGCATTTTCAATGAGAATTCAAATAGGACTTTTTTGCAAGCATTTGACATAACTGATTCTGAAACTTAACATTTACCAAACATTTACTAAAATATATTACAATATAATTGTAATTATACCATTGTGAACCAGTGCTGGAACAGACCAGTAGACCAATATGATAGAAAGAGTTAAGAAACATGTATATACGGAACACATACATACACACATACTTATGTATATATAACAACTTGATATATCACAGAAATGTCCTCAGTCAGTAGGGAAAGAATAGATTCTTTAAAGTTGGTATTGAGCAAGTGGTCTCAACTAAATAAATTTCTGATACACAGTATGTTAAAAAAAAGAATGAAATAATAATTATGAAAAGTACAGTTTTCAAAGGATGAGAAATGTGGAAGACAGAAAAAGATTTCTGTGGCACCTTAAGATCATACAATTTTGGCAGCTCTTGTTAATAAAGAGAATACAAAATTACAAATAGAAAATTGGGATACTGTAATGCCCAACATCAGGTGGTCTTCAGTCCAGCTAGGCTTGTCATACTCATTCAACTACCATAGACCATACTTTGCATC